TGACCAAAAATCTATATCTACTGACTAATAAACACGTACATGTATGTTGTGAAAGAAATAAATAAAGATGACAAGTCAGAAGTGGGTTAACATTCACAAATTTTAGGAGTTTTCAACAATTAAGACTTTCAGAGATAACTCTTTCCCCTTTCCCCCATTCCCAGCCTCAAGTTTGTTCATGTCTGCAAACCAATACTTTGTTTTGACAAAAAAAAATTTGAACAAATATAGAAAATGTGCACAAAGTTTAATAGAGCGTCTCTCTGAATGATTTTCATTTCTAATTCTAGGAAGGCGAGTTGACCCTAAATCGTGAATAGAATGTCAAGCAATCTTATCATTGATGCAATTTTGAATCTGATGCAGGTCATATTTTGAACAGTTCTAGTTCAAGAGGGGTGGGCATGACCTCCAGCAGTTCATTAATTATTAGTTGGATGTTGTTTTGGTATTTTGAAAACAAATGAAATTTTGTGCAAGGTTTTCGAGTGTTACGCTGTAGAAAAATTTTCTTTTGTTTACTCATCAGATAGCATAAAACGAGTGCATTGAAGACATTTTTTTCTTTAATTTCTTTTGTTTAACGTTCACAAAATAAATAACTGATACTGTGTTCATTAATTGATTTAAAGAACTGAGCCATTCCAATTAGAAAATAAGTTGTGCACTTTTACAATACATATTACTTTTTTTTTTAACATAACTCTGATTCTGTAATCTTTGAAAAAGAAACACCCTTCTGTTGATTTATACATGTAATTACCCTTGTGTCTATGTTCAGATTTGTGCCATGCAACGCGGCCTAATGAATTTCAAGGTAGTATAAAATGACTGTGTTCAAAATTATTGTGAAACTTATGTTATTTGCTCTTTTATTTAATTAAATATTCGGGGGGGGGGGGGAGTTTCAAATAAAATGAGGTATAGTCCAAATAGCAAACTGCATTCAGTATATTAAGTAAAAAATATTTTACTGATTGCATGTAACTAATTTTCGAAATTATGAAAGATTTCAGTAACTTTGATAAATAATGAACTTAATATGATTGTATTTCGTATTTTTGGACATATGAGGTTTTTTGATTGGTTACAATTTTTTTAATTTTCTTATTGTTTTGTTAATAAATATACAACTTTTTGTAAGTGATTAACGTACCTGATTCTTAATCTTTAATTCCTTATAAAACACACATAAGTGAATTTTTTGCTTATATGGTGACGCCACCACTTGCCGGTGGCGGGTGCAAATTTATACCTATACTCGGCGCTCAGGGCCATTAAGCAGTGAAGGATCTTCTCGTGCCAACACCTACTGCGATATGGGGTCTCGGTTTGTACGGTCTCATCCGAAGGACCGGTCTCCAGGTACCGCAGTGGATTCGAACCCGCGACGAAAGGAACAGCTCTTAACTAAGAGACTCTAGAACAGACGCTCTAACCACTGTGCCACGCGGGTATCTGTATACTCTAGAAGGGGTGATAAAAAATCCTTTTAAACCACTTGTCTTTATTGATAATGCTAATTTACTGCACATAAATAATCACGTTAAATTAAATAAAGGAAATAGATAACTTTACTTTTTCAAACTTATGCTATACTTTCAGAAAGTGCACAATTATGCGTAGAAACTAAGGTGGTTAAGAATACCTTGGAAATAATGACAAAATACATTTCATTATCATTATATTATCACATATCCCAAGCTTCGAAAATTTAGTGATTTAGGGACACATGATAAAAACTTTTTTTTATCAAAAACCATGAAAATAACAACTTTATTCATTTTTATATACCCGGTAGGTGAATTGAGTTTTTAAGAATTAAAGAATTTTTAAGAATTAACAGCTGGTATTTAATTTTTTATAAAAATTAAAAATAATGTCCTTTAGAATGAAAGAAATTGTATATTTGTATATGGGTGATAGCAGAAAGGTAGAATTTTGAACATCATTGAAAGTTTACAGTTTCTAAATATTGTAGAAAATTGATATTTACTTCATTTAAAAAAGTCCAAAAATATTAACAATGTAGGTATCAATTTTTGTTTGCATCTTATGTCCTAAAGGCTGTGTTAATGTCATATGCTTCATTGCAACTCCAGGCTCATATATAGAAACATCTTCCTTGTTTGTATCAATATTACAATCTTATACTGTCATATTTAAATCGAACGTATGTTTTCATTTTCCTTTAAGATTTAAATGCAGTTCTGTTAAAAGAGGCATGGGCACCGTCGGATTAAAGTTTTTGTTTTAAAAGTTTTAAATTTCTGTTCAATAAATAACTAAATGAATTGAACGTACAAGAAAAGCTAAAATACATTGACAATCGCATTCTTTAATACGTTACATCATAAACCTGTATTGTAAACATACATTGGCACGAACTCTGTTATTGTTAATTTTTGTGCTTTACTGGGAGTTTGGCTTTGCTAACTCTGTACACATCACTGAACAGAAACTGACAATACTGGTGTCCTTTTCCCTCACATTTCTATTCTGACTTTCCTTGATCGTAGTTTTAATATTTTCATCAGTTCACCACAAAATTTCCAATTTTCCTAAATACTAAGGATACATTTTATCAGGGAAAAGTACAATTATATGTGTAAATCAGATGTGTCCCAAATTCGTCCTTTGGATACTTTTCAAATAAAAGGAGTTTCTAAATACAGCCTGGACAGTTCGGTCTAAATGCTCTTGCAACACGTAAATTATGATTTCTTATCGAAAATTTTGAACACAATGTGTCCTTGCCCCTTTAAAGGCAGAATCTTTAAATGTGCAATGTGAAAGATGCTTCAAATTTACAAATGACAGTCTTTTAATAGTTGTCATATCTTATAATTTCCCTTAAGGTGTTAAGGTTTCAGAATTTTTATTGTGTTAATTTATGAAACAGAGTTTTCCTTTTCTTTTATTGTCTTGAAATTTGTTTGTTCTATAGAATGTTTAAATATCAATCTATTGTTCTAATTTGCTGTGCCAGATCAATGAACACAGTGTTGTATACCGAAATGGTTCATATCAGAAAAAATGAGCGTTAATTAGTTACCCGAAAAGTATACGGTTGCTACAGGAAACCAATGGACGAAATGGTAAGTATTTTTCTTCGCTATATCAACAAAATGGTCCATATAATTTCAAAAACCAAGAAAGTTATGGCTGTTTACAATGTATAAAACAATTGATCTTTTTTTCTTTATTTAATGAAGGATAACTGCACTTAACGCTGGGTTTGGGGTCTTTTTTCGTCGCTTCTTTTTCTTTTATGTCTTAAACTTATTTCACTTTTGTATATTTACTAGAAAATTCTGTCAATTCTGTCACCCACCAAAATTTACATGTTAAATGATTTAAGACTATGATACAATAAAATAATTCTATGTTTTTGTCCTTACTGTTTTCGAAATATAGAGAATTTACACTTACCTGCCCTTGATTAAACATTAAGTATGCATGAGAGGTGGAACTAACATTGTAAGAATGGCTCTTAAATTAGACTATATAAATAACAATAACATGTATAAAAATACTAGATTACTCTTTCCCATCCCCCGCCCCCCCCCCTTTATTCTGTATAGCACAAGTACATAATTAACAAAGGTTTCAAAACGAAATAAACAATATCAAGCAGTCCGTGTAAGGAAAAATACTTTGAATCGATGTCTGACAGTTCAACGTGTTCGAGCACAGTGTTCTAGTTATTACAAAACATGCTACCTTACTATTCACGTGACGGATCTGAGTATTCACAGAGTTACCTGAGGTAAGAAATCACGTGGGGAATTATAATATTCATCATGCCATAGCCCTTGGTTACAACAGAGAGGGTAATGTAAGAAGAAGCAATTTTAAGCGCATGTTTGTCTATTAATCTCCTTTTGACACAACATTATTATTGCAAATATATACAACTACTGTTAAACGGAGAACAATAGACAAACATGCGCTGACTATGTATAAAGTCAGTGAAAAAATGGGCGTCTTCATTATCGTACGGAGATGTAAGAAATTGTAATGACCCCGGCCTTTGAAAACAGCTTCGTATTTTGTAAAATGAATACATACTTTTATTTGATATAATTACGTAAAGTTGAAGATTAGATGTTGACCGTTTCTGCAATTAAAAGAAAAATGCTTGTTTTGAAAGTTTATTTTGTCGCAATTTTGGTATGTCCTTAAGTGCAGTCATCCTTTAATATAAAATTTTGAAATACCATATATGACTCTCCTGGCTATTTTGTTATTATATTCAGAATTCAATACGCGTTAAAATACATTTAACTCATTACTAATAACCTGATATTTTTTCCAGATAAATACTACCTTCTGTTTTGAGCAAAAGTAATGGCTTCTATTACGAACAAAAGTAAAGACAGCGCTCTACACTACATAACATGTGCAAGATGTAAAAACTATTCCAAGTTCTACTGCAATACCTGTCATCAACCATTGTGTGAGCAGTGCCGTGATGCCCATCTCCGGGAAAAAGAAAGCGAAAAACATGAGTTGGTTCTTTACCAAGAAAGAAAAAACAATTTCCACCAGAAAAATGTCAGGTCCACCCAACAAGAATCCTAGAGCTCTATTGTGCTGATTGTCTCGTTCCTGTTTGATCCAAATGCTTTGTTAAAGATCATAAATGTCATGAGATTTTAGACCTTGAAGATGTTTATAATGAAAGATTACACCAATGCCAGAAAAACCTACTCGAAATCCAAGACAAAATTCTTCCTGAATTTGTAGAAAAAGTAAACTCAAAGAGCATGAAGAGAGAAAGTTTAGAAAATGTCACAAAGAAAATAGAAAAAATACGATTTTCCATGAAGCAAAGTGCCGATGAGATTAAGGCATCGGTGGACACTATTCTTGCTGACAACAATGCCAAATTGGACATGATGGGGGCGTCAATTCTGGATGGTATTGTAAAACAAGAGAAGGAGTCAAAAGACTTTATATCATATTTAGAGAAATTGATATAGGAATACAGCGGGGATATGTCATCTTGCACACCATCTGAGGTTATCGCATTCAGCAAAGAGACGGCAAACATCTTGATGAAGTTTCACGACCTAACAGAGCCTGGGGCACCAGAGTTTGCAACGGGTAAAATTATAAAGGAGGAAATAGAAAAGCTTTTTGGTTGTATTATTTCATGTGCAGAACGAAAGAATATGAAAATAGAAGACAGAAAATTTCAAAACTCCCACCAGCCCTGTGTCTCCCAACAATTACAAGAGCAAAGTATGGAAATTTCCCCCTTTATGACCAAAGTACGGGCGATTGAAATATCTGGTCTCAATGCAATTATCCATTTATCGCCGGTAAAATCTGGAAAATTTTGGTCCAGTGATTACGGTTGTAATCTCATTCAGTCTGATATGCTAGGGAATATACTTCAGAAAATATCCACCCAAAAAGATGGAACGGGATATCACGCTATCACAAAAGGTGGTGATTTACTTTACACAGATGATATAAAGAGAGCCATCTACATGTGTAAATTAAACTCTGAGATGAAAATCACAGCACTTGTTACCACGGGGACTGGGAGCCACATTCCCTCTGGTCCTCTCATATAAATGGGGACATACTGGTGGGGATGAAGAAAAATAAAGAATGGAAAATAACTAGATACAACAGAGGAGGGAAGAAATTACTGGACTTTCAGAAAAATGATAAAGAAAAGGATCTATACTCAAGTGTTAAATACATCACAGAAAACATCAATGGTGACATTTGTACAACAGACTTCGATGCCAGTAAAATATTAGTAGTGACCAGCTCAGGGCAATACAGGTTCTCTTACTCTGGTTCTTCTAACGATTATGTATTTCATCCATGTGGTATCTGCACAGACGTCCTGGGGAATATCTTGGTATGTAATGGTTGCAGTGAAAGTCTTGAAAAGAGTTTAATAGTTGATCCTTTTAAAAGTGAATTCGGAATCCATTTGCTGGACCAGGACGGTCGGTTCCTGTCACTTCTACTCAAACATCCATCTTCACCTAACCCCCGTGCTCTTTGTTTTGATAACCAAAACAATCTAATGGTGGGAAGTAAGAACAGTCCTACTGTCACTGTGTACAAGTATCTCCCGAGAAAAGGCACGTTGTAAAATCATTCTTAGTATTAGTCCTCTTACTTTCTTAAATACTGATATACCAGTCCTACTGTCACTGTGTACAAGTATCTCCAGAGCAGAGGCAACTAGTGAAAATCATTCAAGGAATTTCAAAGGAAATACTAAATGACTGCATTTCCATATATTCTCCCAGCAATCATTTATCAATTGATCACCACATTCTTCATGAGTTTTAGCGTCCTTTCTAGGAATTCAATCAGACAAAAATTTAAATGCTTCTTTTTTGCGTTTTGACAACAGGTTTCTTTTGAATTCACAAATAAAAGAGAATGTCTCATAAAATCATCAGATTATTTTCGCTTTAGATTTAATGAGTCACTACAAAGATATTTCATGTATATCTAATGTTCCTTACCAATGAAACAGCTTAACAGTCTATTCATTAAAAATGTATCAGAAAAAGTTTATAAATAACATCCATAGAAAATATAGATTCCAACAAAGCTTAATGGCTATTGAAATAATGTTTTTAAATAAGCAGGATAATTTAATGCAGCTGTGATTACACCGTGATGGTTTTTTTTATTGCATGCACTTTCTGTGAAGCATGAACCATTAAAGTAAAGCATCAAATTGTTGTTCTGGATATTAGATGGCTTTAAGACTAGCCAGAGAACATACGTTATAAGATTTGTTGCATTCGTACAGCACAAAACAGCATTCAGTTAGCACTATGAGCATTTACAAAGTTCTCTAGGAAATGTGAAATTGTATGTATGTTGGGTTCATAATACCCTGTACTATAACTTAAAGTTAGTCATGATGTGCTGTACAGCGGGGTACAGTATACACTCGGCACTCTGGGCGTGGTAGTAGTTCTGTAGAAGCTGTGACACGGCCATGTAAGCGGGGTCTGGGACTGTCCCCTGACTGGGTCCATTTGTTGTATGGTGTTGGCACTGATGTCGTACAGGAGGGAGACGATGATAGACTGGGGCTCCTGACCAGACGGGGGCTGGATACGTGTAAACTGTATCTGAAAATATAGCAATAATACGATGGCCGGTATGAGCCGTCAAATTACAAGTAAGAGTAACTCTATTATGTACGAAGAATTAATTGACTTTAGCAGTAATTCCTGTATCATTTTGTACATGTACATCTTTGTCAATGACAAAACGCTTGTAGTTGTAACATATATTTGTACATGTACAAATCTTAAGACAAAATACATTTGAAACTACTTAACATTCCTCAGATTTATTGGGGAGATTTATGAAGGTACATGTATATGTAAGTTAAACAATTTCTTGTCAGACTAAATTCACTTTTGTCAACAAAAAAAGACAATCTTAATTCCACCAGAAGACCACTTACAAATTTACATTTACATTTACAAAAAACAATTTTAGAAATTTATTTCAAAATTAAGGATTATCTCCCTCATGAATAGCTCTGATCCTTCGACGCATTTGGCTCCAGTCTTTGGTACCTTTTTTCAGCTCTTCCAAGTCTTTTTTACTGAAATATTTGGGATTTCCAACGTTTCGGCTTGAGCATCACTGAAAAGACATAATTTGTCGAAATGCGCATCTGGTACATCAAAATTGGTACCGTATATGATTTACATTACAATGAGTAACATCTTGATCTGTTTGTTGTTGGCCACTGCAGCGGTCCCTGCTGGATCCACAAAAGCCGCCTGTAGTTAAACACCACTGCATGGACCACTTCATACCACTGGCCTGGTTAGGACCCATCTACAACCTCAAAAATAATGTTCAGCCCCTCTTTTATGACTGGAATTATGATAAATCTTATTGTTAAGCAAAATATGATTTAAATGAAACTTGTCTAATTCGGATGTTATATATTCTGAAATCTTGCACAATATGACCTTATCTTTAAGCCCCTTTCAGTTAAATTCAATTGTTTAAAATGTTTTCTAAACTGGAATGTTTTCTAATCTGGCCAATATCTTCAGAATCACTGGTGTCCGGATTAGACAGTTGTACTGTAGCTGTGATTTATGGACTTGTGAAACTAAGTTGACTCCTTAGCTTTTTTTTCATACACTACGCAGAAAACTAAGTAATACCGACTATTTTGCTTTTTCATACACTACACAGAAAACTATGTAATACCGACTACTTTGCTTTTTTCATACACTACACAGAAAACTATGTAATACCAATTCCAATCTCATGAGTTGAACACAGTCCTTGAGAAATCTGATCGGGGTCTCTAATATTCTACAGAATGCTCTTAGAGCATTCTCTTTGTACTGTGGACAGGATACCTATAATGAAAGAAGCATATTAAATAAAAATCCAGAGCTCAATGAAAATTGCAGAAAATCAAGTGACACAAATTTTATTATTTTTATTAGCCAACACTGTGAAGGTGCTTTCATGTACATGTGTATTACAAAACACTGGTCTATTACAAGTATCTTTAAAAAAATGTTTTGATTTGGGTTTTTTTTTTTAATGTTTTTTTTTTAAACAGTGACAATTCATTTAGAGAAGTAAGATTATTGATTGAATCTGGTTATTTAACAAGAAGCTGTTGTTTGACAAATTTATATCAATATGATGTACAGGTATTCACCTTGGAGTCAAAGTATTGCTGTAAGATATTCAGGACCTCCATACTCCTTTGATCTCTAGGTTCTGTAAAATGGAAAGTGGGATCAATCTGGAGATTTAAATTAGATATCATATTTAACATATAAAAATATATTGAAGAGTATATAACAAATGAAGATGCATTAGACTGAACAAATCAAATAACCAAGATGTTAATATTAAAAGAGGCCAATGGGCCTTGGCTGTTACCTGAGTATCAAAAGTTTCTTAGGATATGAATAATTCAGTTCTACCTGGAACAGAAACTCAGGACTTATGTAATGATTTTTGAGAATTCCATCCTTAGAAAGGGAACTTTGAGTATAAGATGGATTACCACTTGCAGAATTAAATCCAAGTTCCTCTAAAATATAATTAAAATAAAGAGCCTTACAAAACAAAGAATATGTTGTAACCCGCTGTTTTAGCTGGGACCAGTATATATTGATCATGTAATCTAATTCTTTTTCCACTTCTAAATTATTAAAGACGGAAGGATAGATGGTCTTCATATTGACCCTTAGTCGTTTAATGCGAGATTTCAACATCCATATGATACTTGTAATCCATTCTGACAAAGTGTCAAGGCCTTCTTTTTCATGTTTGGCCCATTGCCTGGCGTAATCTTCCACAGAATTTATAATATTTGTAAAATTTTGACGTCAATTGAAAGAAAGAGGTTTCCTATATTTTTACTCTTTTACAAAAAGAGATTTAAGGTCCTCATTTCTGACTATATTCATCAGCTACGACGTGTCCAGTAGGACTGTAGCTGCAGGGTGAAGAAGAACATGAACACGTAGGATTATGTTTCAGATGTCTCAAATATCTGAGCATTGTAGAAGTCTTGGCTTTGGTTTTGTTTTGTTTTGTTTTTAATTTAATATTTCTTTATTTATTTTTTGTTATTAGAAGTTTGGAAGCAGTAGTGGATGTATATTTGTAAAGCCCTCTGAGAAATGATTTTTCTTGGCTGAATAAGTCTTCATTTTCCTACACTATCATGCAATAAATGTCTGATATTGAATGTACAATTCGCATCAACCTCTGATGGCTAGGGACTTGCATCTTGACAACAAACCAGATGCAGCGTCAAACCGAGAGAAGTTTAACACAGTAGTTTTTAAACCCTGCACTATAAGTGAAAATCACATGTCTTTCGGTTATAACCCTTAAAGTGAATACGACTTATAAATAGGTATACCCCATATTAACTTTTTTAACGTATCAGCGGGTTTCTTTATCGGGTGTAAAATTTGGTTTTTCCTTGCTCAAATTTTGGCTGAACTTTCTACCAGACATGCTTCATTGAGGTTGCACACTGGTAGCATATAATTTGAAATTATTTAGAGAAGAATAATTCAGATACCATTGATATATAAAGAAACACAAGAATCAATAACTTTTATATCATAATAATATGTCAGATCTGATGAGGAATCAAATACAGGAAAGTGCAAGGAGAAATTAATCTTCTAGATGAGTTTTCAGTGAGTTGTCAATGTTTATGTACATGTGAGAACTGAATTCTCACTTCTACTGCAGCGATTTTGATGCGCAGATCTTATCTTAACAAATTCCATATTTTAATTTCTCTCTTTCTTGAAATACACCATCCGCTTTCACTGCAATTATGTATTTAGTTTTCACATCTTCTCGGGTTTTATAGAAATCATTTTATGAAATATGCACTATTTATATACTATCTGTACAAATTACCCCTCGAGTGCCTTATCCCCAGCTATACGAAAAAGAATAATCTTCATTCACTTTAGACCCAAATGAATGTTTTAATGGATTTGCTTTGTCTCTGGAAGGAATGTACTCTATGCGGACTAATTTATGTTAGGGAAACAAAGAATTACCTCAATAAGAGAAAGTCATGGCATAGGTTTAAATAAATAATTGGGGCCAACATTTTCATAAACATTTCAATTCACTTAACAGCTCTATTTTTTCAATTAGGGTTAGAATTTTATGGAAAAAAATATCATCCAACTTACACTCCCACATTACGTACTTAATTCCGTAGACAACGAAAGGAGTAATGGATCAGGAAAATATAGGCATGGCCTCTCCGTATATTTTCAACGATCACATAAAGATAAATGTATGGAGTCTGTCAAGCTCACAATGTGCGAATGTGAATGTGATGGGACTTTTTAAGGAGAAGAAGGTCCTTGAGCTGAAAAAATACTTGTCATTTAATTTTTTTGTCATATTTTGTATATTTCTAGTTTAGTACGTCCCAGATATCTTAAAGCAGTTCCGCCGAAATATGGCTGAAATATTGCAGACTCGGCGTAAAACAACAATAATCAATCAATCTTAAAGCAGTTATATTATTAGGTTTCTTACCTTACTTTATAGATCTTGATTGACAAATACTATGCCCTACAGTTTCTA